AGTATATTCCCTGTCCCCGAGTCCGGTTTCCAGACAGGAAGAAACTCTTGATGCAGTAGGAGTGACAGGATAGATCAGTGATGTTGCGGTCAAGCATAGCCCGAGTTGCATGGAAAGTCCATGACTGGCGCAGCTGGTTCCTGGAATTTTCGTACAGCACCGAGTAATAATTGGTGGCTAAACCAGGAGATTGACCAAGGATAGTGCATGGCGTGACACTCAGAAGAGGAGAGAGACTGTGTTGTATTCTGATCATTTGTTTTTCTCGTGGTTTTGGTTGTGCGAGCAGTTAGGGCTCCACAGTTGTATTTCCATTTGAAGTTGGACGTACATTTACTTTGCTGCTAGTACAACTTCTTTCTACTTTAGGAATGGCTCAATCGTTGCAACATGCATCTTTCCAAATCCGGGTTGGGAAACAAAAGTGTCGAGAATGCCACGCCTGTGAGTTTTCAAACGTTTAAGGCTCTTAGTTGCACAATACCATAAAATCAAACGTTGGAGATTCATCGATGACCAGAAACGTGTATCGTTAGTGTATCACAACATACAGTTTAACCATTTTGCACTGTCTTTAAAAAAGCGTGTAATTTTTTGCTCTCATTCATCGTATCATTTAAAGATGACGCACTATAACACATTTAAAAGCTGTTAGACCTTTAACACAAAGTTAAAAACCAGAAATTATTGCTAATTTTTAAAACAACTTTTAATGTTTAGGCTTGGCTGACACCTATATTTGTCAGCTTTGTTTAGTTTCACTAATTGACTAATGCTTTGACCTGTGATTTCGCAGCTGATTTTTGACGGTTGTGAGTCAACAAGAAGCAGATTTTTTGGGATTTGGTGCCCTATTTTTTACATGGGATTATAAATAAATTATTATGCACGAAATTTCTCTTGTTACAGTCCACCAGTTGGCGTCTTGGATATTCGGAAATGAAAAAGTTAGGTCCCTTATCATTTATACTCCCTCAGGTGGCAGTCTTAGACATTCGTTCCTTTCGAGAATATCATACAAGTCACATATGCTCTGCCTTAAATTTGGGTGGGAATCGAGCATTCAAGCGGAGGCTCATGGCTAGTTCGGTATGTTTCAAAAGCAGCATTCTAACCACATTTTAGCACGCTCTGGGCCCGTTGTTATCGCTGTTGGTCGGTGTAACTGTTGAAAACATGCATTCATTTAAGAAGATTGTTCTCTATGACCAGTGCTCAGTGGAACGCCCTACTGGTTACTCTGACAATTTCGCTCACTTTGTTATTAATGGGACTGCAGAATTATTCTCAAATGCTGTTCTTCTTCAGGGTATTTTCTTACATTCAATACCACTTTTTTAAGGCTGATGAATTTTAATGCCTTCAACCTCTACTTTTTTGTAGCAAAACCAGAGGAAGTAAATGCTTTATGTTTTGATTCCTTACGTTCACATTATATTTCTATTTTCATCGTAGTAGTTAGAGGACTCGTGAATTTTCCTCATAAATCGTCTTTGATTTTTATCACTTCCGGTCACTCAGACTCCGTTTTGCAAACTTAGTTTTTTGAATATTTATTCTGCCAGGCGGTTTTCTTGGGTTCCGTGCAGCATATCCACAACTCTGTTGGCAACATCCAGACAAGCTTCCAGATGAAGAGTTTGTCGGTGTGAAGGGAGATTCAGGTCTAGAAAATTTGCTACAGGAGTGCCTTTTCAAACGCTACCACGACGCTCCTTCAACCTCGCTCTCTCCAGGGGATCGTTCGAGTGTCTCAACTCGTCAGCCCTCTTCGTGTTCCTCTTGTGGATCCTCCTCTTCACACCGAAGCAGTGACTCTGGCGTTATTCTCTCTACCGACCTTGCTGCAGATAACGCACCTACTATTAGCAGGTACGATGATATCATATTTTGGTACAACTTGTCTATACTTTGATCCAGGGTAGAGCTCTGCTGCGCCTGTTTGTACACAGACGTGTCACTGCTGCCGCATTGGTCGATTTTGTTACGCACACACGAACACATTGGAGGCCGATGATTCATGTCGACAAATGCGTGTGCATGCACTGCATTAGTGTAAATCATTGTCGCATGTTTGTTTGTACGCGCTTACATGCATGCAAACAGCCCGTTGCGCGGTTTATTTTTCAACTTCAAAGTGCACGTTTGCCCACTCGAATTAATACGCATTCGTTTCAAATTCGTTGTAAAAGTTGGGTAGTGTTTCTCCCTGCATTATTAAAGTAACCTGCTTAGGCACCTCGGTATCGGCATTCCCTATCTGCACTTCTTTAGTTCTGCTTTGGGTCCTAGAATGTTCATTTCCGCCCTACCTGGGGTTTCCTCTAGTGAGCCCCCCAACTTCTACTTTTCATAACAGTAGATCATTTATTTTTAAAAAATTCCATAAACGTTGCGCACTTTTATCAATTTCTCAATAAGACCATACTATATGGCTTCAAATTTTTTCCTACTTTTTCACGATTACAGCCAATTCATTACCACCGCGATATTTTTGACCCTTCTTTTTTTAGTTTGGCCTTCATGAGAAGTTAACGCCGTTTGCTCTTTTTATTTGCTTTATTCAAGTGAAAAGTCGGCCTAAATGTAGATCCATCGTTTTAGTAGTCCTTCAGCCTTTTGAATATGGTTTTACGTTTTTTCTTAACACATCCACGCACGTTTGTGTCGAATAAATGTCTATTTATCGTATATTTCTGCATTCAACCTCTGGGTTCTTGACTCGCAGCGTCAATTTCCTGGTAATTGTGTGGTGTTGAGTCAAACCCTCGTGCTTGTGTAATGTGTGCGCGCGCACGATTTGGCGTCATACATTCCTTTGGTGTCTTCCACTCCACAGGAAAACTGTTTCCCGAGTCACCTCAGATCCCACCACCGTAGTGACCTCCCTCTCCGTCGATGACGTCATCATGGCCAGTTCATGCCGTCGTCCCTTGCGCCTTCGACCGAATACGCTATCCCTCTGCTCTGCTTCCTATTCCACCTCCACTTCTGTTACTACTTCCACCTGTAGCACACTTCTCGATAACTCCTCTCACTGCCATTTCGCATCGTCCTACCGACTTCTCTCCCCCTCAAATTCTGCCTCCGCTTCCACACTCCCACTGGCATCTACCCAGCCCCCCCGACCGGCCTCCACTGTGAGCGCAGCTCTCAGTGCCGAGGCCTTCGAATCGCCCCTGCCAACAGCAGTGCTTCCACATATGCTAATCGGTTGCCAGGCGGACGCCATGTCTGCGAAGGTGTGTGTCGAGTTTGGGGTGACGCATGTGATCAATGTCTCCGCTGACGGCGAGATCTCACCTCACGTGCCTCCCTCGCGGTTTCTCCGAATCCCCATCCATGATAATGGGAAGGCTGACATGGTGCCTTACTTTGAGAAGGCTTTTGCATTTCTTGGTGAGTTGATTACACACGCACAAAACGTGTGCTCCCCCTCTTGTAGGTTGTAGTATGTAGTGTTTATTTGGAGACCACTGCGTGTGTTTATGAGTGTGAGCATATTCTATGCTTTCTGATAGTATTACCGAAGCAGCTAGGTCTTCGTTGCTGAATGCGTCAGTGTCGGTAGGGCGTGGGGGAGGTTAAATTGAAGTCAGCGTGATTACGCGACTTTAGCATTGGCAACGAGTCCCGTGATAAATGTGTAGGCCTTTGTCTTCGTGCTCACGCGTGTGCTCGCAGAGCGACAAAACTCCTACTTTCTTGTTTCCGAATTTAAATGACAAAGTGCTACCCTTTGTCTATATCGTTTTTTGCATTACATTTAAGTTGTTCATGGAACCAATTAAAAATTGCACAATAGAAAGCGGGAAATTGATTCCTTTTAAACTTATTTAGTTTTCAGACCCAATTCACAATTTTGAATGCTAATCATGCACGGAATGTTATGCATTTTTACTCGAGAACACGACCATCTCGGGTATGCATGCTTTATCTTTCATGTGAGGCCTTTTGAAAATCAGTCTGATTGAAATTGAAACGGACAACGTCGCATATATATGCGCGAAATAATCCAGATCAACAAAATGTCAGTGTCCTGAAACGCATACATTTGTTAAAACTTTTAACCATCTTAGGTTAGTAATCGTACTTTTTTATTCACATCAACCAACTCCATGTTTAGCGCGTTGCCGATATTAAAATCTTCGTGGGGCATCATCAGTGGGAATCTTCAATCGTTACGGATCCATAAGCTTATTTCACCGTTCCTTTTTACACTACTGTTGAATTTTTGGGACTAGAGTCGTCTTGGTCGGTGTGGATTATTAAATATACACTTCCCTTAGTAACAAATTTTCTGCACTTTACCAAGAATTTGTATTCTTGACGATTTGCTGCGGAATGCACGAGCAATATCTTTCCAGTTTTGCATTTATTGTGGCAAATTATGATGATACAAGCAGTCCCAGTAACAAGTTACGTTCAGTGATTTTGGGACGCCTGGATTAGACATTCAGCTAAATGCTAAATCAAGCCAAAATGGGAGACAATGGAGTATCGTGGATTTTGACTCAACCTGTTTCAATGAAGGCAATGCTGCTGATGCAATTCTCGTTAGCTGATTCAGGATGTGATGTGATTTTTCACTGCCATCGTTACTGGCTGGTATAATTGAACCCGATGTCATTGGCAAAGCTAAATTACGCTATATTTAAAGGGTCTGCACGCGGTGGGGCCTATGCTTAACCTATTCCTTTACCCTTCAATTCTTCCACCCTACATACATGTGCAGTCACGGTTGCGTGCGGTCACGCATTGGAAGCGCTAGTTGCTCATCCAACCTGGTGGTAGCTGTTGCGCTTCCAGGTCTTGTGCGCTGACTAGTTCGCTGTTTTCACTTTCAGTCAGTGCTCTCGCAGGTGTAAAACTGTACGCCTTGGCACAATAATCACGTAGACGTATCCCTCTGCCTTTCCTTAATAGACTCAGCCAAGGACTGTAGCGGCCGCGTGCTTATTCACTGTTTCGCGGGCATTTCAAGGTCACCGACATTGGCCATCGCCTACCTGATGTGCAACCAACGTATCACCTTCGATGAAGCGTACAAGTGAGTTACATCCCACTCTACGTGACCGCTGCCATTCCTCTTGCTCATCTCTCGTTCCTACTTGAGTGTTTTTTTTCAGTCGTGTGAAGTCTATGCGGCCGAAAATCTCTCCAAACTTCAATTTTATCGGCCAGCTGACAGATTTTGAGCGGCGCCTCAATCTCCCCTCGCCGTCACAACCTCCTCCTCCCCCTCAGCTGCCTCCGGTAATAAGCGTACAACCTCATGTCCCTATTCAGGCGGTAACTCCATCAGGGTCATCAGGGAGAATAGACACCAACTCTGGTGAGCTTCTGCCTGACTGGATTTAGAATACAAAATTTTTCCACGTAAAATCTCCTAATCAATTGGAAAATTTCCTGTTTCGAATTTTATTTCCAAATTCGAGCACTGTATTTTAGATGTATACTCATCTGCCAAATTTTCAGGTGCCGTTTTTAAAATAGGTTATGAATTAAGCATTCCCTAGCTATTGGAGTAGAATACTGTCCTCTTTTACAACTCCGAGAAATTACCCTGAATTAAACTATAAGCTATTGTTTTAACATCACAAATGAGAATATTCCTAGGCACACAAAAATCCCTCATTCTCCTATCTTTGCCCACTATCATTCTAGTGGAGATGATGTGCTCTTGGAAGCATTTGATTCTGAGGTAGACTTTAATTCACTTATTTAAAATATTGAAATCCAAGTAACTTAAAGGGCAATCGGTGATTAAATTATCTTGAATTTAACCGCAGAAAACATTTACAGCCGTGGTAATTTGGTACAGTCTCCACATTAATGTTATCATGTTTTTTTTTGGATTATAGCAGTTGTCTTATGTGTCTCTGAAAATTCCAGGTTGTATGGAAGATTGAATCTAATCACAATGTTTTTAAACACCTCCGGTGTCATCTTGTTATGGAATAACCCACTTTCTTGTTTCAATGTTTCTGTAATCATCTACATACAAAAACGGAAGTATTGTCAAAATATCTTATATGCTTGGATTGTAGAAGTTCATTTCATTGTTCTCTTTACGGCTTGGTTTTGAGGAATGTCAGCATTTCGCTGAATTTTTTAGAGATCCTAAAGAACCTTGCTAATCGGTTACTTATAAAAAGGATATTTACGGCAGCTTAAAGGCTGTTTTTATAATTTTTTTGCAGAAGTAGCTCCAAGATTCATTAACCACATGACATCAACAGCTGCTGTCCCAACAAAGACGTTGCCATTGTCTGGAACGCCGGGCCCATCGCGTCCAGTCACCCTTTCGCTTCGTCGACCTCTAATGGGAGGATGTTCAAAAAAGCGTGATCGTTCACAGTATCTCGCCCTCTACCCTCTGCCTGCATTTGAGCATTCTACACCATCCGTCGAAATTTCCGCTACCACCACAGCCGATGCTCCCATGTGCACAACTTTCACTTCCACTTCAGCAGCGACAACAAATCCTGTAACCTTCGTAGGTCGACGGAAACGCAGTCGTTTCGGGCCTCTTCTTCCCTCTCCTTCGACTGCCATCGCTAGCCTGGATCTCTCCTCTCCATCGGAGGATTGTCCTCTGTCGCGTTTGAAGTCCACCTCACCACCGCCTCCGCCACCGTCCCCGCGTCCTCGTCGTCTTCGAAGGGGCAGTCAGCTTCGCGTTGAGGAGGCTCGACGCTTCTCTCTCTCCACCTTTTCCGAACTCCAATTCGCAGGTGCTGCCTTAGCCGCCGCTGCTGCTGCCGCTGAAGCCCCTTCTAGCGACATTGATATCGAAACCGACATGGCCGCCTCTAATCCCACCATTATCGGCGGTGGTGGTGGCCTGCAAAGTCCTAACGCCTCTACTCACCGGTGGGTTATCGGCGAAAGCTGCCGGCACCAGCAGGCCACTGCGGAATCCTCCTGTCATTCCAGTCTTTCCTCCTCAAGCAACAGTCAGCATACTCCCAGTTTCCCTATTTCTTAGTCTACTTTGTCTGTGTCTCCTGTCTAGTCAACAAGGTGGAATTTGTCGCATTTGCCTAACTTGTTCAAACGGTCTGTTTGTGTATTGTGCATAGTCATCTGACTGTATGTGAATATACTTAAATAATTTTGTTTTAAATATGAATTTCGCATTTCATTTGCATTTGTAGTGCAGTTGCCCTGGCGCTATGCATAGTGATTCTTTTGAGAGATCTATTTGAGAAAACAGAACTGCTCTGTTCTTCTTTCTTCCCTGAAAGTCTACGCGATACAATGTCTAAATTGCAGCGCAACAAAACGTCATAGTGAATGATCTTGGCTTCTTGTTACGCCCTTCATTTTCGTAAGCCGTTGGAAGGGTCGGATTGGTTACTTGTGTAAGGAAACTTAATCATCTCTCTTTCATTGGTTGCTTGAGGCACTATTAGACGATGAAAAAAATGCATTTGCTGGACTTGTTCTATCCTAGTTGTTGTTTGTTATACAGCTTTGTCAAACGAATGGGGTTAGTCATTGAGTTGTCTACTTTCCATGCCCACAAAAATCCACCTCTCTCTCAATAGTTATTCACCGATTAAGTCTAAGCAGGGGTTATTCTCCGTGAGCGAACTTACTTTTAGGATCAGAGACCGCTAATAATAATATTAGTTTTGTTCTACCAAATATTCCAGTAGCTTGTGCCTGAATTTTTAATGGACAACTTGGATATACTTCCTAGCACTTAGGGAGAGTGTTTCTGCGGGACAGATCTCACGAATGCGATGTCTCTTTAGTTCAAACTGAATCAAACGGGTGGCTGGAACTATTGGACCTTTGGTCATTTGACCTCTCGGGATCAGTGAACGACTGGAAAAGATTACGACTAAAGTTTGGCGTGCAAGTGGTTCCGCATTTGCCTGAAACAATGTGGAACCGGAGTGAAATTTCAACGAATGGGTACTTTCATGCATCCATTCACAAACCATCCACGTTTATGTCTTATTCCGCTGATTGGTGTTCTTCCCATTGGTCAATTTCTGCAAGGCCATGCAAAAGGACCCAGGACAAGGAAACGCACATTACTAAGGCACCGTTCTAAATATAGCTCTCAAAAGCGTAATCTCTTTCGTCAATATAGATTTAACATTGCATTTGAGGGTAATTTACCCTAGGATTAAAGTCTGGACTTTTCTCTTATATGTAGGATTAATTGGGGTTTAAGATTGGAGCGCAGCAATAACAAAATTCTTTAGGAAGAATACTGAGTATTTTTTTGCGAATATATCGGAGCAGTATTATTTCTTTGGTTTAACAATCACGTTCTATAAATGTCCATTGCACATGTTGACAACTAGACCGGGTAGTTGTTTACATCAGTTTATAGCTTTTCAAACAATCATCCGAGTTTATGATTTTCAGCATTACCTTGATTTATTCAGTGGAGGTCAAATTGGATTTAAGCGCCTGATGCTCGAGATCTTAGTGATGCTCCTTGCACGAACGCAAATACAATCTTGTGTAATCGAAGTGAGCAATTGAAGTACGTCTGACATTTTCGACCAGCACGAATCGTCCAGCAAAGATACTGTGGAGTTTCGTATGGTAAAGATGAATTGGAAAGAGCCGTTGGTCACTCAGAAGCACCGCAACAATGTATTGGCGGAGGGTCGCATATATTTTAATAGTTCAAAGGAAGCTGCCTGATCATTTGTTTAACGGCAGTCCTAAATTTAACTCCATGGGGAGATAGTCTGCTAATGGTAAGAACTGAGGAGTTTTCTAACATGCGCGAAGGTTTAAAAAAGACAAAAACGGTGTCATGACGAATAAAGTAGCAAAATCTCACAGGAGCGACGCGTTTGTGAACCAGGTTGCAGACATTTAACTAAACGAAATTAGCCAATGCATGAGTGTAATGATAATAATAATAATAATAATAATAATAATAATAATAATAATAATATCTGATCACGTGGTTCCAAGAATTCCAGTAAACAGAATTCCCCGCATGTGACGTGACCTTTTGTTAAACATAAGCTGAATAGTGAACGTGACTTACGGACAAATGCCGATTCAAAGTAGGATAAAGTTATCGAAGTAAGCGAGAATATCTAAAGAACCTGCACAATCTCAAAAATGTTATTATTTTGTTAGCTTGTAAGCACCCCAAGGGGGTAAGGAAAGTGGAGACCTACAGATTTAGACATGTTAAAGCGAAATAATACCTTGCACTAGAGAAGAAATTTACCATATCCAAAATGATAGAAGTTTTAATATCTACAAGGTGCGATCGGATGTTCCACAAAATCAAGCTATCACTATTATCTTGCATAAGTACCGCTAGACAAATTTAGCAGACTACTCAAAGAGCCACCTACATTCGAGGTTTTGATTGCGTGTTTCAATGGGATGGCTAGGTTATGGTATGAGTCAATTGTAATGGTGTGGAGCGACGGCATTCGGTGGGACATGGATGTGTCAGTGTGGTGTATCACGCATGAGAGGGCCGAAATGTGGCAGTCGACAGTCACCCTCTAAGTCGTGAACCGAATCGGCGGAGGGTGAGCGAGGGTGTGTGAATGCAGTGTGGCAGTGCAGGCGCATCCACTAGACAAAGGCCAAACCCAAATGCAAATGCCCACATTTTAGAGTAACCGCTTGATTGAAGGGTCATCTCAACACCTACGATCGTAGTGGTGTGGTATGGTGAGCTGTGGCGCCGTTGGTGGCGATGGCAGTGTTGTAACGCCATGAATCCACTGCGGCTGTGTCAACATTTGGGGTCGTGCTGACACTAGCAACCGTGCCTGAATTATCCACGTCCTTTGAAAGGCATTGGCTGCTGTCTTGCAGTGGATCTAGGTCTAAATCTAGATTTAACCAACATGATGTTTGCCGTGTTCGAGTAGGCAATGTGATAGAAACGAAACCTGTTGGTTGGATCGGGGCGGGTGATGGTGGGAGAGACGTGGGGAGCCACGCAGAAGAACTGACTTACATCGGCAACATTGACGCGAAAAATAAATCAGCTACTTTAGTTCCAAGTTTCTTCTGGGTCAGCTTCCACATCTCATGGACTTTGGTCCTATGGTCACAACTGCGTCATTTAATTCGCTGCGTTATGCGCGTTACTTTAACTTTCAAAAGTGGATTTCACGCTTATTTGGGATTCGTTGGTGGTGATAGTAGAGAATGGAGAAAGTGAAGCTCAACTACTCCATATCACAGGGTGATCAAGCTTGTATTTGCTACATTTTTTTAAATGCGGTAATGTTTGTTTGTCACTTTCTGTGCACTTTGTACGAGGTGGTTTCACAATTGCCGTGTTCGTAAGTAAACTTGTTGTTTTGAAGCTGCCAGCATTAATGACTTGTTATGCCCTGATTGAATTGGCATTGAGAGTGGGTTGTGGACTTGTGCTAATGGAAGTTTCGTTTCTCGGGCCCATTACCGCCTTGCTTTGCTCCGCTCCGCCCTGCTCTGCTTTCCTTGGCTTTTGTGAAATAATCACAGAAGCTAGAATGATGCGCCATTCGAGGGCGTAATTCGCATCGGTTTGTAAAATAAGTGAGACTTATTTATAAGCTGTCATTAGTGAAGTGCCTCAGTAGAGAAGTTGCATTCCACGATAAGCTGTTTGTAATCGTAGAGGCTGTAGGATGCGTTTATTATTTTCAAGTGGATAAACAATTTCCTATTTCCTAGGCGTTGATTTCGAACACAGGGGAAGTGCGGTATTTTCAAACAACTAAGTGGAGTTTCAATTAGCTCTTTCTGATTACCTTTGTAGCATTTGTTGACTAAAAGTCTGTTTGATTATATTAGTGCAAAAATAACTTAATTTTAATGCTACCAAATATTTGCAATGTAATCGGTTGACTTTCATTGATATCACCTTTGGAAACGCCTTGCATTTTCTGCATCCAGCTAAGCAGAAGAGTTTTCCAGCCTTTCCAAATTCCAATGAACCAACTCTGTACCCTTCTCTCCACTTGTTTCACTCGTCAGTCAATACGTATTAAGTGGCATTAAGAAAAACGAAATCGGATATATGATGACTGTGAAATGGATGTTGTATTCTAACATACTTTTGGTAAATGCAATCTAATGGATTTTCAAATGGTGCTTATGTACTTCTGATGTAACAAGTAGTCACAGGATTTTCAATAATTGTCAGTTAAATGACTTTTTAGTGATATCATGGAATTGAAATTGATGCTTTGGAAGGGAAAAGAAATAATTCTCAAAATGTTACTACATTTTCGCTAATAACCATCAGCAAATTACTTTAAGGAATCACGATGAAATATTGCCACATTATTTCGCTCCGTCAGATTCTTACCAATGATTGATTTAGTGGTGGAGTGCGCTGTGGGTTAAAATGGAGCATCTTTTAAAAACAGAAAATTCCCAGTTTAATTTACCATTTATTAAAGGCCTTTGCCAGTACTCCAGATACCTTGGCAAAGAAAATCCATCAAATCAAACAGACTTATCCGCTTTTTTAAAGCGGTTTTAAATGCTGTGTTGGCGATTGTCAGCACTCTTTCGCTTCGACCCATCAATCCTCCTCCAGATCAGGCTTGATGTGAACGTCCACATCTGCTTTCAGCCTTTCCACTACCAGATTCATGTGGCGAATAATGGAAGCGGTAGATGCCGGTGTCGCTAGATCACCCCTTTATCCAGTGATGTTGAAGGGAAGCATTTTTTATCTGTGGCAGCGGTTATCATAGGATGTCGAAAGTATAGTTAGGGAGATTCACCATTGGAGAGCAAAATCACCTCGTTTCCTCCGAGCAGGCTACTAGGGAGTCACTAAATAAGCATCAGGTCCAATATGCGTTAAAAGTGCACTTTATTAACAATTCGCAACATTTCCCGGGATTCACTGTCAATTGCTGTCGACGATGCCAAATCTAGCTAGAAAAGTGGCGGTGTCTTAGGTGCGTCTCGGCATCAGCACAATGGTGAGGCAGTGTGGCAATTGGATTTCATTTGGTCTCTGTCTTACACAGAAGGGATTTTGCGCAGTGAATCTATGACGGCAGACATTGTTATCGTGGGGATGAGGTTTTGTGTGAAACCTAAGAAACAGTTGAACACTACTGAAGGTGGGAAAAATGCATTATACGCGAAAGAAGGATGCACTGCTTGAAGTAAATAAAAAAATGTCTATTGGACAAGCCTCTTCGTAATGACTTGAAGAACAAGGTCAGTTAGGCGCGAGAATAAGCAAATGCATGAGAACACTCGATTTGAATCAGAGGCAGTGAAGCTGACAGTGTTTCGTTTTATCCAAGTAATACTTACAGAGATGTTTAAAACCGAAGAGCAAGGAATGCTTGTCGGAGATTCCGTTACTCTCAGAAATTCTGCACCTCTAATTACAGTGAAACGTAAGGCTTATGACCTTATTCATTGGATTTTTAATACTGTTTCCCCAGAATGCAATTTAAGCGATGTGTTGACGATTTGAAGGCATCTGTTTTGTCGACACTCATGAGTGGGGCCGTGCCAAGGATAAGTCGTCGGAATTTGGCTGCAGAAGGACGGAGGGTTTCGTCAAAAGGTCGCATCGTGAGTCACTACATGGGGGATGAGACATGGTTTGATGAATCATACGAATAAGGCGGTAAGTTAGTTTTTGCTTCTGCATACGTATTACTTACGAGATTATTTTGCTGTTTTTTGCTATGATTTCCCTTTTCCGTACTATACTTTATTCCCTGAACTCCGTGTTATTATTCGCAGCAATTTTTTAACCGATAGAAACGAAATCAAAATTGCAATTTATTGCCCTTTATATATTTTCGCTATCTTTTTAATTAACATTGCTTGAATTATGTTTCTCCTGGCATTTGTTGTATTTCGAAAATATCAGCACAAATCAACATTTTGCTATTTCTTGTACTTTGTTGTCAGGACAGCACGTCCACTACTCTTTGTAAGCAAAAAATGTTTTTGATGTGGTCACTTATAGTAGCTGGATATTTTTCACAAAAACTAACTAGTCCTTCGCTTTTGGCGCGAATACTTAAATGGTGTTAATCCATACATACATACGACCCCTAATCCTCTGAATAAATTAGATGGTGAAAACAGCATAACTCGTGTGCTTAATCCAAGCATTCCTTACGCCTAGGGTGCCCTTATGACCAGATGAATCACTGCCGGTACATTCCTTTTTGGTTGCAGCGACGCCTACCCGTCCGACGCGATGAAATTAGTTTATGGAATAACCCACGTGAAGGATTTGCTAGGCATGACACTGGGACATTTTCTAGTGTCCGTCTCTTCAAGCAAAATTGAGTGATTATTTTGCAGCTCTGACGCTAGATCTGACATTATAACTAACGCATAATCCATTAATTGATTTACCTTGTCGTTGTGTGCATAGGGATCTGTATTGTTTAGATGAGATTCAATGCGTCACTGTCAAATTATGTGAGTTCTTTCTTTTTGTCTTCCTGTTTATTCGCAGAAGATATAGGCGTCAGTCGCAGGTCAGGGAAATGTTGCTCTTACGATTCCTAGTTAGGCAATAGAGCCAGTAGAGCCTGACTCCCCACACTTTGTAGCATTTGAGAAAATTATCGCGTTGGCATCCCGAAATGCATAATCTTTTAACAGCTAGTGAGTTTCGTAAGCAACTTCATATTTTTAGTTTTGGTCTATTTGTTGAAAATGCGATTTATTATAGCAGGACACGTAAAAGTGATTCTTTACTCTGTTTCGGTGCAAGTACATCTAGGACACAGACAAAAATTGCGGATATTAATGAAAAATAACACAGTTGAGTTGGTTGTTTTCAGTTTATTAATAGGTGGTTTTTAGCACATGCATGACCACATTTTGTAGATCCAAAATAAAAATCTAAACAAAAGCTTGAAATTTTCTTTGGCTTTTAAGTCCCCTTAACATTTGTGCTTCGAGGCAGGTACACAAAGTGAAATGAAATGACTTCCCAGCCGTATTTTCAAAATAAACGTTTCTTTTCTGAATTGACGTTGGTTACGCAGACTTAACGATGTTTAATGTTAAATTGCCTATTAATTTAGCGTGAATATGAAATAAATGTATAATTGCCGCTTGTTTACATTAATCACTTCGACTTCTGCAGCGGTTCTTCATAATTCGTCTGCGGTGAGGTTTTCGGAACAAAGCGGCGTGAGCTGGTTCTGTTTACCTACTATATTTGAATGGGTGATTATGTTTATTTAACAAACAGCGTAGGTTTTGATTTTCCGGCACTTATTTTATGACTTCCATTTGGCTGCTAAGGAGCAATCAAACGATATACGATAAGTGAATTACTGATCTATAGCGGGCTTGATTTGCAGTCATTTCTCGCCTGGTTGTTAGTCGCTGTTAACTAACTCGGATTTCTCTTTTTTTGTAACTTTGTATAATTTTTGCTCTATTGTCTGTAGCATGGCTTGTGTTACACTAAAGAGATCTGCTCCTTTTGATTCTATCGGTTCTTCTTCTGTGAAAAGACATCGGTGCTCTTTAAACCTCCCCTGCAATTGTCAGTTGACATCGCAAGAATCTGCCTTTATACCTTCTTCTCGTCTTACGAAAGGTTAGCTCGTGGATTTGTTGTAATTAGTACGGAACCTTTGTCGTGATCTCGAGCTTTTCTTATTTTAGATCAAATACACCGGCGCATTCGATACGAGGTATGGCGTCTTCAGCGTCGTAGAATTATTCCGAAATTCCCACCAAATTGTCTTTCAAGCTGCCACGACGCATCTGGTGTACACAATGAACGGCCGAGTTCACCAGAGGGTAGTTCAGCCATTTCTCGGTTTCATTATTGGCAACTTTGGATTTTAGATTTTTTCTTCTGGTAAATCTGTTTATTGGAATATATGGGGATGTTTTCAGCTGCATGAACTTACCGTTATTTTAAGATAGTGCTTCCATTCTCGATTTATGTGTGTTGACTTGTTTGGTGTTCTCATCTTATTAATGCTTCTTTAAGTAGCTTGCGTGATGTGTGGTTATAGTTGAACCTTGTTAATTGTGAGGTAATTAGCCAGTTTCCTGTAATATTCGCGTTTTCTGAGCTCCCCTTGATTAACTCATGTTTATGCTGTTTATGATCTTTGTATTATTCATAGTTCCTTCATTATAATCGTGAGTTACTAGAATTTCGAACAAGGTTGCGTTTCCAGAATCAAAATTTACTACTAGGGCGGGGTCTTCAAGTGTCCCTGCTTCTGTATTTTTGAGTATAGGCTCGTAGCTGAAGACACTACCAGTAATTTTAGGTATCGATTTCACAGTCGATGTGTTAATGAAATTCGAGTTCATTTGTCATTAAGCGTCAACTTTGTTGTGCTGAAGTAACCCTGCCTTCGATCCAATGCTTACTGTACTCGGATTCGTTTCCCCGTGCGACGTGGCTTGTGTGACGACACTCTTGTTACAGTTCTAAGTTTTGATTTGCATTTCTGTAGTTATTATGCATTACAACTATTATTGCTCACGAAACAGCTAGTCTGTTCATGGCAAGTTGGTTCAATTCACCACATCGACAGCCTTACAGATCCTAACTGATTGTGAACTTACTTAAAGGTGCTCCCTTACTATTTGCCATGAGTCCGTTACTTGGTGCCCTACCTACACTTTTGGAAGTAGTTAAAATGGAATCCTTATGAAATTTATCAGAATCATTTCTATTTATGAGGCCTTCAACTTTGGCCTTACCTATTTCCCCCATTTGCAGTTATCAGTCATGAATTAACTGCAAAGTTAGGGCTGTTTAAGCTTCAAATATTTGATGCCATTCGGGATGTAAATGGATTTGGTTATAAACGCCTGATTCTATGGTGATTATTCTTGTTGAATTTAGTACATTCCACGGTTTTATTTATTTGGTAATTTTAGTACTGTCAATTTCGTACTGTTTCTAGAGCTTATTTATAAATCACCTACTTATTAATATGAAGCATTGCAAGCATTGGTACGCCTAAGAGACATCCATCTTCTATGGTTTGGTTTTTCAACTCTCAGTATCGTTGGTGTTTGTAACCTCTTGGTAGGTAACATGTAAAATACGTGGGAGCGCTTGTCGCTCATCGGTTGCTATTCCATCTGCGAGCTCTGAACTTGCAAGCGGTAGTATCGTAGGCCTAGTCCTAAAACATTCTATTCTTTACATATAGAGTGCACACTGCACTCATGCTCGCAGGTGATAAGCAGCATGCGTCAGATGGCGATTCGTTCGCCCAAGCCGGATACACCAGCTTCCTCAGACTCCGATGAGACCTCGGATGGCTCCTGCACCCCACCACGCACAGAGCCGTCTTCCTCCCTGCGGCCGATGCCCCCACAATCGCCCTCTTCCGTTGAGCCGAAAAGTGCTGGCACAAGTCAGGATACTGTACCGCTTTTCACAATGTGTCAGGTCACTGCTCTCTGTGACCGCCTTATCCGTGAGCGTGAAGAACAACTTCGTGAGGAGTATGACAACATTCTCTGCTGTAAACTCGCCGGTAGGGGCTCGGCTACTTCCGGTTTCTTGTGGTTGAGTCTCTTCTTATCTCTTCCTCTTTCAGAACAGTATGCGGCCTTGTTGAAGTTCAATCAGGACCAGTTGAGTTACAGGTTCAAGGACGCACCAATGAGTTGTAAGTCGTAGATGAATATGATCACGTGCATGGGCTTAAAAACAAGCTCTAAAAGTCAAACGCCTCTTTTTTAGATGTTTCCTAGATCGTTCGTTATCATCGAAGGTGTTTGGCTTCCATCTATGTCCATCTTTTCTCACTTGGGCGCCTGCGTTTACCTCAATGTTTTTCCTCCATGATGCAGTTTACTTCGAGTTGTGCGGTGTAGTTGAATGTAGCAGTAACTTTAAACTGACTGCGTGTGAGTTTGATGAGAGCTAGCTAGCTTATAAGATGGGCGGGCACCTTTGTCCTTCTTGAAAATTCAAGTTGGCTGGGGATGGTGTAGTAGCTGGTGGGAAGGAGTAGTGGGGCGGTCCTAAGCGTGGTGTGGGGCGCTCCCAGGGGATCCCTGGGGGCTCGGCCGTGGTCGTGGATTCGCGGGGGGTGGCTGGTGGGTGCCGCGCACGGCTGGCGGCGTGGCCTGTGTGGGGGTGGGTCTCCGTGGGTGGTGGGGTGGGGCCCACGTTTATCAAGCCGGGAGACGGCCGTAGGGCGGGAGGGGGTGGATGGCTCGGTGCCGCTTTCTTGCCGGGTAGCGGGTGTTCACACTGTTAACCGGGGTGTTGTACATGTGCCTGAGTTTGGGCGTCGTTTGATTACTGTAGAAGTTGTGGTGTGAGGCGTGTGGTATTCCTAACGTAAAAAAGTGTGTGGAACTACATCACATATCTCAAATGGTAAATGGACAAGGAAAATTACGCATGGCACGTCTTAGTTTCATTCGAAAGGACGCCAGGGCCATAGTTCGCGTAATGGATCCTGAACTTGATTACAAAACTGACAAGGGTTTTGTTATTATAATGCGCCATTAATCAGGAAAAAGCTCAGTTATTTTGTGCCACATTTTTGGGATTAAAATGAATTCTGTTTGTTTATAAAAGTCGTTTAAAGCCCGCCTCTTTTGGCTGGCCTGCAGACGACCTTTTTTGGGTAGTTGAGTTGTAATGGCACAGCGGATTTTCCAGTCATTCCGGAGACTCCCCTCACAGCTTACATCAGTGCGTAAAAAACAGGATACTGTCGAAGTCGTAGGGAGTCACTACAAGATTAATGTGGTTTGTTCTGTCAGTTTTTTAACATTTAGTGCTCAAACGTTGGTTTTCCAGCTAAACCCTCGTCTCTTGCCTACGATCAGAGTCTTGATATTTTCGCATTGGCTACGAGGGATGGTATTTTGTATGTGTATCTTTTGTAGTCTTAGTGCGAGTTCTTAATACCCCCGACCTGTGTTTTCTCCGTTGAAAATTATTCCTTGACAGCAAAATAGCTTTGGGAAACCTGGTGTCGTCTATTATGGATCACATAAGGGAGCTTTGGAAATAATAAAGGTCTTGTTTTTTACTGGGATGGTTAGTCTTGTTATCGCGGGCAATTTATACGTTTCTTTAGGGTAAACTTTTGACACTCAGTGTCGATGACATCATATACGTTTGGGAAATCGTAAGTCCAAATGGCAATCAACCAGGCTTACAAAATATTGGCCAGCTTTCTGGCGTGTCCGATGCTCTTGAGTCAAAACATCTGGAAGTCGACCCAATTGGTGATATCACCAGTCACATCACTGCTCTCATTGTTAGTTCATCAAACTCATCAATTTTGGTCGGTACGGATCAAGGAAACGTTGCGCCTATTCGTCGTAATACTCATGTTAAACAAGGTGTTGATCAAGACGAGAATACTATGTGGATTATGCCCTCAAAGGATAAGATTATAACGCCTCATCGCGCATTACAAAGGTTCGTTTTCACACTCAAATTATTTATTGCTGCAGTAAGCTTGAGCCATTTGCAAAGGATTTGCTCATTTATCTGTATTCACCTGTGTCAAATTATTTCAGACGAGTGGAGATTATTTTCTAAACTTCGATTACTTCGATAATAGTTATGCAGAAACTGTAAAACTGAACACTTTCTTAACATCTTAACCCTTTGAGTCACCTGTTACGTTTTGAACGCGTATGCAGACTCTTGCACCTTGCTACGTAGGCATGTCAGTAAATATTTGAGCTTGCGCCGTAGTGGGTTTTTTAAAATAATTGGGTTCGATGCTTATTTGGGACTAAAAGCATCCTAGCCAGTATATGCACGGACTCATATAACCTGTGTAGCTGGGTATTTGCATGATACGTCCTCTAATTGACACCCTTTCTTACAAAACATGAAGTGAGTCAGTTATTCTCTGCCTTTGGCAACTTAGTGAGTACGAAGTACATTTTCTCACACGCATGGGTATTTGCTCACCACCTGGCCCTTTTAGGGCAGCGTTGTGAAATGCTTCGACTAAACAGTGCCTTGATTAGAAGTGCTATTCACTTCTAAGTACTGGTCTCGGTGGATCTTCGTATATTTATTTTTATAAAGCTTCCTTGGAATGGCAGATTTTCTGCCTACTCTCTGTATTAATCCTCGCAAAATTATTTGGTTCATTACTCACAGCAGGCTGTTAAGGCCGCTCCTAATTCACAAGCTGTACTGGTAGACCAAACAAACGTGCATCTCATCTAGGGACAGTCTCGATTAGAATTTCATGTATGTACTGAGACCTATATCAGCATGCCCTAAAGCACAAAATTTAGCGTTATCTTTATGTGAGTCACAATCCTATTGATATCCGACTAATTTACTTAATTTTGTTTTCTACGATTGAATTCCAAAAATAGGTCCTATGCTTTAGAATGGTAGACTGTGACATCATTTGCCAATTCCCACCCTTTGCATTGTGGTGATAGAAAAGCTATCCGATTCTTAGGTTCTACTCACATGATTAGGGAGTTGGGGAATTCAGGTGTAAGTATCGAGTAATTTGTACACAGAACCATGATAATTAATCTTCTAGACGTTTCTTTTTACTAATTTTTAACAATTCTTTTGTGAACTTGTTCATCTGATATTTGTATATTCTTGATTTCATTGTTTGAACTCAAGATGACATTATATTTTTACAGCATTCTAGCTCTAATTGTAATATAACCTTCCTTCCTATGTCTCTTTTTAGTTAGGGATTTTGCTTTTTTATTTTTGAATTGGATTTTCAAAATATATACAAGCTAAATATTAATTCATTAGTGTCGGACAAATTTGTAGTGAAGGTTTTTTAGACCGGCTGTTCTCGTGTCTCCCTTCTTAAAGCACTAACATTTGTCCTCAAAACACGCGATCTCGTTCTATCTTAAATACATTTATTTTACCAACCATACGTAGTTGGGACTTATTTTCGGATGCTTTTTGGCTTACCTTTAGGAATTAGTTGGATTTGTAAACTTGGACTTAAATGCGGTCTTATTTGAATATAGTCTTAAAGTTAATCAAATTTTTTGCTCGTTTGGGTAACTTCGCGTCTAAAGTTTAACAGTAAATAGGTAATCTGATAGGTAATAGGTAATCTGATCATTCTTTAGTATTTCTCCGGAAAAGCGCACTCGCTTGCGATTGGACGCCGTAGTGGTCTTGTTAGAGCGACCCAGCTATCCGAGTCAGTTGCTGATTGGCTACAGCAGTGGCATTTGTCTGCTCTACGACCTTCAGGGCGAACGGGTTCTGGCCCTCCTACCTTGCCAGTACGAACTTGAAGCAGCTACGTGGTGTGGGGGTAGTGGGTTGCCAGTTAGGGGGGCAGTAGCCAACCCAACAGCTACCCCGCCTCACTTGGGCACCCGGGTACTCACCGCTTACGGAAACGGTTCCCTGGGAGTGTGGCAAATACCTCTATTCGCTACTGGGCCCGGATTGGCCACTGAATTAGGCACTCAAACACTCCAGATGATGGAATCACCGAGCATGCCTTACGGTGAGGCTATTTGTCGCCTAACTTGGATGCTCTAATAGTTTCGGTATAAACTGGGGTCCTTATTTAGTTCATCCCGATTTTCACGTGCAAATTAAGGTCCAAAGATGGTTAGGTAACAGCTTTCAAAAATGTCTTACTGTAGTGATCCTTATTCATTTATTATGTTGGAAATACCTAATTTCCACGTCAATTAAATTTCACTTTTACAGGGAACCTTTAGCGCTTATTCGACACGAAATTGTTTTTTAAAAAGCACCTGATTAAATGGACAAATACTCCAATTGTTTGATTGACAGGGCTCAATTTCATCCGTCTCTGGCCATTAGATAGGATAGCTAGCCCTTCGTGATTTTTGAAGCATAGCCAAATTTCAAAACCGTTAATCGAACGATCAGTGCTAGTTAAAGGTTTTACATTCTTTCCTTGATTTTGATCATGTAATTACATCGTTTGTGGTGGAATAGAGTACACTGTGATGTTGCAACTTTGAAACCTCACAAGAATAGACTTGGGTGTTAATTCAATCAGAGGCAATGCAGCATTGTTAGCTTCACAATTTCCCTGAATTTCTCACACCAAATTTACTAACCTCTGTTGTATTCACTTTGTTGGGTCAACTTTTTGAATCCGGATCTGTCGAATTCTTGTTAAGCTTTCAGTTCAAATTGTATGTGCAAAATGTGACTTGTTTCTTCTTTCTCTTTTAGGTCCGTTTCCTTGCAAACTGATCAGTAAGGTCTTTTGGCTACCATCTCACGAGTAAGTAAATTTTTTTTGTTCTGAATACTTTTTTTTCGAAAAAAGTCGCAAATCTGGTTGTAGGCCAAATGAGACCGTTTTAGCACAGGTCTACGCAACGGAGTTCGTTATCAGGCGACTGCTCGCAAGCTTCACTGCGCTCAAGCGTGGCTCAGCACGCTGAGTCACCGCAAATGTTTTCGTTTTCATCGGTGATGTTGTGGTGCATTGCGTCTTTTCTGAAGTCGTAATAAGCCAGACCAGTTGGAGAGATTGCCTATTGACGTACCGGGAGGGGGGGGGGGGCGGGCTGGAATGCTGAGGGTATGGCCGAATACCCATGTTGGGAGGCTGGTTTCCGAGATTGCAATGTTTGAAGAGCCATGTAGCTAATTGTGCACTTAAGTCTCACGCAATTTTATGGAATGCAAAGGGATTACTCCAACTTATGTCTTCTTTACTCATATTATTTTATTTAGTCAAGGCCTATTTTAAAAGTTACACTTTTTCAACCTCTACAAGTATCGCTTTAACGCGAAATACTTTTTCGGTTATTGAGAAATGTTTTGTTAATGTATGTACTCAAAAGTGTTCTAAAAATCGGTGAAGTTCAACTTTTTCATAAAAAATTATATTTTCCCCGATATGGAGTAGGAGTATTCAAATTATTAGATGGATGGAGTAATGCATGGAGAAAAATTTGGTTTGGTTCTAGTTTTCATATAAACTACTTAATTAGGATTTCTTTATGTCCAATTTGAAGGCTCCAATGGTTCCCTTGCGTCTTAGTGTAGCAAAAATGTAATGCGCAGAATAATTTGGCATGAAACTACAGATACTTTGCACCAATGAGATATTAACCAAAGCTTTTACTTTCTAAATGAAATTAAAAAACATTTGTGTGAATCGAAGTGGTAAGGAGATGATATTAATAGGTGGTCTTGACAAAGTTAGCTGATTGTAAATTGTCTGTTGTGCTACTTTCATGAGAAATGCAGCTCAGTATTAGTAAAATACGGTAGCTTTTTAGTGTACAAGTGTCTCATTCTATCAAAAGCAAATTGAATTTTATTCCTGTGCCGCCTTGTTCCATCTAAACACAAGCCCATTGTGAGTAAAAAAAATTAGAAAGTCGTTCCTGGTGATAACACTACAGTCTATTTAGTAGTGCTTACCTGCCACACATCGCATGAATGCATAATTAATTGGCTTTAGTGACGTATCATAATTACACAAACGAGAACTTTTGCAATTGTGTGCGCTGAAAGGCCACAGTATTTTCACACTTGACACGGCGTCTCATGTGTTCTGTCCCACCTAAATATTCCACATTTATCCTAACAGATGCTTTTCAACGCTGGAAAGATTCAAACCTGGTTCAGCTGCTTTGTGTCCAGTTGCTAACAGACGATTTTTAATTTAACCTGGTGTAATAGTTTGTTCAACAGTACTGGTGCAGCCCCCTCTCAAAATTGGTATCTTCTATCCCCCTGTAATCCGGGCATGAGTAACCGATATTATTTTCTTTCTGGACGAGAACTAGGGTCTCCTAACGATGAACACGTTGCCTTTAGGGTTTTATGATGTTCGAAATAATTTCCTGGGAACTGCCCTCAAAACGTCTCCTTAATTCTTCACCTTTCGGTTTTGAAAAATGTCATTTCGTACGTATTTGTTCCACAGTCTTTCACGACTTATATTCACTATTTTGAGGTAAAAAAAATAGAAACAATAGTATTTAACCAATAAATTCATGACATTTTCTGGGGTCGTATACACATTACAACTCTTGGAGAGCTTTGGGCTTGAGTTTATAATGTACTGGCCAATAGGCCACCTTGGACATTCCTTTTTAACGCAGCCCTCATCTATCTATTAAAAAACTGTTGGGGAAATCTCGAATTTGGAAGTGTTTATTGTTCTTTTAATTCTAGTCATTCTGAGGGAACTTTAATACTTTCTCCTCCCTACCAGGGGTGGAATTACCATTTTCACGGGTGGAATGCCACGCTCTATCTATGGCGATCGCAACACTGTTAGCATTTTACGTGGCTCCAATTTGGACCAGGCTGCTGCAGCAAATCTAGCTGCTGCTCTGCGAGCCGACAGCGAAGGCGATGCTGACTGTGAGCGCAGTACAGCGGGTCAGGAATTCTATGACGGTGGTGCGAATGCCGACATTCTCCTACCTAGCGGCCTTGTTCCCGGCGCTCCAGTGCATGTCTTCGATTCGGACGCACCGGAACATGTCTGTCTAGACCTGCCCTCTCTCGTGGTTGATGTCTGTCCACTGGGCCCTGCAGGAGGTCCTGTTACCGGTCTGCTGATATTGTGCGAGGAGGAACTCATTGCTATTGACCTGCTCACTCCTGGATGGCCGCTCCTTGAATTGCCCTATCTCAATTGCCTCCACGCCTCCTCACTTACTACCTATGGTCTCTTCACCCAGGTGAATCCCGCTTTCTTGGAAGGTCTGGAAGCTATCGGTGGAGGGGCCGATGCAGTGGGGCCCGTACCTCGTGCCACCGGGCTGTCGACTCGCACCTGGCCGATTCAAGGAGGCGAATTAGGAAGGAGGAATGAAGTTTCTGAACCAGTGGTCCCTTCCGATGACCTTCTCATTACAGGTCACGAGAATGGAACTTTGCAGTTTTGGCGTTTGGCTGCTGGCGGATGTGCGCGGAAAATATTTTGCCTCTTCACTGGATCCCTCTTTGAGGGCGACTTCGGACCCGATGCGGTGGGGGTAAGTATTTATTCGACAAGTTTGCATTTCTGTCAAGTCATCTGCTTGAGGGCTTGAAGGCTTATTGGACTGATAATTTTTAAGTTCTGTGTGGACTGGTTCTCTGGATAATTGCGTAATCTGAACCTTGTACGAAATAGGTTTCTTTAATATTTAATTTCTTAAAAACTGGATGGAAACATTTAAACCAACTGCTGATCTGTTGTAATTCGTTAAGTTATTTGGAGACGTTACAACTACTAAAATTTCCTGCGTAGACGATTGTTTAAGCGTTGGTCTCTTTTCGTGACCAGTTTCTAATCTTGAATTCTTCTAGAATGAGGAGCCATATTCATCTTTTATCTTTTGGAGATAATTAAAATGTTGGCACCATGACAGCTGGATAATCAGTGCTATACGAATGAATTTTTATGATTTCTTTATGCTAAATCTGCTAGTGTTCTAACATGAAAGAAACGGCTCTATTTTACCAACTGTATTTCGAGATGTGTAAGGGATGCCAATGTCACTTTGTCAATCTAGAACTTTCTTTACCATTGGAATTTTCTTCTCTCCAATTTTCGTGCTTTTGAGATCCTCGTTTCCATCTTTGTCTTAACAGCAGCAATTCACCTTTTTAGAGCTATTTTCTGACCAGTTTTCCCTGACGTTAAAAGTTTTATTCGTTCATTCATTCTTTTAAATATACTCATATTTGCCGACACAACATGGCTTATCGAAGTGGAGGAAATGCTATGCTCAAATCCCACAATATGATTGCAGATATAATGAACGAGCGCTTTTTTCTAAAAACTCTGTTACGTGGGGTCTTTATTGCACACCCTTACACTAAGACCGAAGTTTACTTACCGGAGATCGGTCTTTGATCTCATACTGATCAGCCCTAGGTGCTTAGCATACATCGCGTTAGTGTATGACCGCGTACCGAGGTAATACGATCTTCAGATTGCATTTTCGCGGCGCATTTGAGATATCAGATGGGGAGCACAAGTAAGTTCATTGTTTTATAATTTTGACTAAATGAAGGCTCTTCTTTTATCAGTTATAATTTTTACGAAGGAGGCAAATATGGCTAGTGGATGTGAAATTACCTGATCCATTCATTCGAAACGTTCCGTAAAAGTAAGAATTCCTCTTAAATGTCTTGGTAGCAAAAATACTCAGAAAATGAATAGACGTGCAAATACATTGAATGAAACCATCTTTTTGAAACTTGAAATTCATCAAATTAACAGATGTCATAAATTTAGCGTTTAGGTAGATTTATCAGATAATATCACTCGTAAGCTGAGCTTATCATATCCAAGTTTTTGTTTCCGACCCTCTGGTCTGTTGATTGTAAGTACCTGCCTAACAAAGGCTATTTGACCCTCCCATAGGACACCCACCGGGCCTGCGAGGAGGAGAGCGAGCCGTGGCCACCGTTTCGTCGTGTGGGTCTCTTTGATCCCTTCATGGACGACGTGCGCGCAGCAATAAAAGTTATTCATTTGGTGGACAGCACACTCGTTGTCGGTGGGGCTGCTGGCCAGGTGAGTCCTTGTCATCGTCTTCCATCATTTCATTTGTTGCGTCAATCCCTCTCCTCACCGCCTCTGTAGGTCTCTGTGTGGCAACTAGCACCGACAAAACCCACCATGGCGACTCTCGATGTCCCCGTAGCACCTGAAGTACCGGGTTTTCGGTGGAAAGGATATGCTCCGCTGACTGTAAGTGTCCATCTATCGATGTTAGATGTAGTAGGCTTCTTGAGTCATTCCTGAAGACGTAATAAAGTCTACCATTATAAGAGGGAGTCTTTTATTAGCGCACAGGAGGGCTGGGAGATTATATGCACAAATGGATGTCTACGACACTAAGATAGTGGTAGGGCCTGTGGAGGCTGAGGACCTTACGTAGTTAAATGCACATTTAAACCACCATTGTTTTGCTGCAGCACCAGTCACTTCATTGTCAATATACTTCCTGTCTCAAATCGGCGCACGTTTCATCTAGAAACGAGGGGTTTGGTCTTGTTTGTTTCCAAAATTTTCAACTAGACTCACATCGGCTATCTTGTAGACAATCTGACAGCAGGTTGCATCTTATTCCTTCTTCATCAATCTCTTTGGTTGAAGAATTGCTCATCAAGACACCCAGTTTTATCCATACATATTTTGTGTCCATTCTTGCGTTAAGTCTTAGAGACCAATTGCGCATCACCAAACGGTCCTGCTAGATTATAGACTAAAGTATGACCGATTTTATCACTTTATCAATTCGTTTTCTGCATTCTTAGTCAATATTTTTTGAAAGGAACCAAAACACATTTTGAGGTTGCAATATTCTGCGTTGCTATTCCTTTTTTTCGCAATAAGTAATCTTTTTCATCAGTAAGTGCCTAATTGTATGCATATATATAACTCCAGAAGGTCCCATGACAATTCATTCTATGGCGATTTCTTGTGTTTAGTCGATGTGGAAATATTTGATAGACGTCAGTAGTTGAGTCAATTGTCGGCAACACTTTGTCGAATTCTTTCGGTCAACTCTCCAGTTAGCTGTTACAGACCTATGGTCTTGTAAATTGCCTCATTCTAGTTGCGCCGAAATCAACTTGACCAGCCCCAGCGTTTGGCTGGTGCCAGTCTATTTCCCATGGCAGTTGCCCTGTGTCAGCCACCTTCGCCTGTCACCTGCCTCTCTGCCTGCGAGTTGTCTGATTTCTCCGCCATGGATAAGTCCTTACAGCCATCACCTCAACCATCACCCACAATCGGTGTTCTGGTGGGCATGGGAACGGCTCATGGATTCGCGTTGATGCATATCAGTGCATCAGAAGGAGGCTTTGCGTCTCACCTCCTCCTACACCACTCCACAATACCCTCCAATGCAGAGGCCTTAGAAGAGGCAGCTGTTGGCGAGGGGTGGGCTAGGCGTCGCACGAGGGAGCTGAAGAATTCTTTAAGAGATTCCTTTCGTCGTCTCAAACGTATGAAGTCAGGGAGGTCAACAATGACTGCTGCTCCTATTGGACCAGTAGCTGTCACGGCTGGTTCCTCTACTTCTGCCCAACAGACGACCTCGGGCTCGACGGTATCTCCCCCAGCAAACAGGTTGAATCATCCCCCTCGAGTGGGACTTCGGAAGAGTGTGTCACGGGTTAGTCCAATTTCTTAGCATTTTTGACTGAAAATTCACGCTTTATGTCAAATTTAAGCAGTTACAATGGCTTTGTGACTTCGTGGGGATCTCTAATAGCATGATTTTCTAATTGAATCATCTCGTTTTTTTATGGTTCTCATTCTGATAAAAATGCCATTAATGCTTTCCGTGGCACTTTCTTGATTTAACCTTTTGGAATGTAGTGCGTGAATCCTTCCTGAGAAGGTTGTAAGATGTTTCTTGACAACAAAAATCTGTGGAGTCTGATAACGCCGAGCAGCTAAGTTACTATTAAAACAGGTGTCGTTATGTTACAGAGGTTTTCCTAATAGTAGAGCATCTGTCAGTACTTGATGTGTTGTCAGCAGTTCCAAACACTTTGTTTCTGTTTAATTGTCTCATTCAATTCATACCTTTATGATCCCTTCATTGTTATTCACAGATTATTTGAGGAAGTAGCTTTCCTGTAGATTGGAATGACGAATCTGGTGACTAGGTTAAGATAACTTATAGCACTTCGTTATACAAGGTTCTATATTTTCAGGACGTAAGTATCCAATGTACAGGTGATTCCTTCAGCATGGTTGCATGCTCGGTCTCTGAATTAGCCACTGAATTTTAAATACAATGTTAGTATTGCGGGGTTATGAATACTATTACCAACTTTTGCGGCTTGAACTATGACAGTTCTTGCAGGTAAGTCGGCTGATGAAATGTTTGGGTGAAATACCCAGGAGGACTTCTGAGAACCGTCAGTTTACGTATATATTTAGTCAGCCTCTGCCGCCAATCAAGGTATACAAATACGTGGTGATCCACTGCAAGAGGCGCTCTCACGAGTTCACTCGGATAACGAAACGTTGACCTCACCTCCGCTTCCCACGGGCTGTGAGCGTGAGATCTGTGACCGCCCTGCTGCCACCGCCAACACGGCGCTGGTGCGCTGTATGGCCTTTGGACCGCCTCTACATCATCGGCTCCGACCCCCTGCTGCTGGGATCACTGCATCCACCTCCGCCACCATCGAGACCTCTCAATTGCTGGGCAGTTTTTTTGCTGCCACTGCTGGGGGCGCCACTTTCGTTTTTGCACTATACACAGACAATGTGCGACGGCCCTCTCATTTAGCCTTGCGACAAGCTACACAGATGCAACTGCAGCATCGAGCACCTATTGTGGCGCTCCGCTTGATCGACACCAAAACACACTGCCCCTTGTTGACCTCCTGTGAGTCAGACCTCTTCCTTTTTGGCCTCCACATTCATTTTTATGCTCAGTTTTTTGCTTGAAATTAACTTCATATCCTTAAGTCGATATGGGATTGATTTTATGGCTTTGGTGAATGCACGAAATATTTTTATAATCAAGATCTCGTCGTGACATTTCAATGATAGCTACTTGGTTGGAGACTTCCTAATTGACCTTTAAATTTTAGGGGATTTCAGATAGACTTGATTGATTAACCGACTTCAAGGAAGTAAACGCAACATTTTAAATAGGCTTTTTTGCCCGTCAATGTACTTCTGTCATCCAACAAACTGCTTCTATCCTATTCAAATCATTCCTTTCAATCTTTTTTTCTCATATGACCTCTCAAAGCCAAGCGAGGCATATTCACTAATGGAGGCGTAAAAGTCATACAGGGACTTTAATTTTTGCGGGCATAAAGTGGAGGCTACTTTGATCGTACTACAAGAAGTAATAAGTGAGAATTGTGTCTCATCAATAATATCCAATGCGCACTTCATGAGCCAGTCCAGGCACGGTTAAATAAGGCGGGAAGTGACAGTTGTTATATGTCCATAAAACGTGTAGTAAATGATGAATTTTCTTGTGACCGGAGGTATAAAATCAGTAAGTACTCATCTTCCGGGAACTTCAAATGCAGCGGGGTATAGTGATGGAATGTACAGCCATTCATTAGTGCGATATTTGAATGCTGTAAGCGTCTCAAAGGTGCGTTTAACGCCTGATCCTGAACGTCTAAAATTGTGCCAGAGATGAATCATTCTGAGGAAACGGTGGACAATGAAGGGACATTTGAAATGTCCCTAGCTTGGTGCATTCTGGGTGTCCTAGGATGGTTCAACCGTACAGGTGAATCTTCTAATGTAAAAGCTGCTTTCTGGTATTAATTGATCTCTGGAGTAGGTGCATAAATATAACAGGGAAATATGCTAAGAATAGTACTTGGTGTTCCTTTAAATATGTCCCTTTTTAGTCCTGTTGTAAATTCAAAATTTCCTATTTAACTTGGACCGCTATCACAATTTATTAACTTATATTCTTCTTACCAAACACAAAATTCGTACTTTAGGAATTGATTAACTTGTCATAACCGCATTACGTTTGAAAATGTTATGGCATCAGCGGTTTTCGGGGTAGGTGGCGAACAAATTACGGAAGGCTGAAAAGGCTAGCGTGATAACGCAATTTTGCTGCAATATCAAGCGCTACGGAGCTCTTTCTTCACTTTTCAGCCGTCTACTTGCCCCAATTCTCCAGTCCCTTGGTTCCATCCCACCACCACCCACTACCGCCACATTTGATGGTGATCAGCGAGGAACAAGTGCGCTTGTTTTCTCTCCCCTCCATCTCCCTACGGCAGAAGGCACGTATCACCGCGAAGGATGGTTTTCGCATCAAAACCGGCAACATTATGGCCTTTGGGCAGTTGTCTAGTATGCGCATTTCTTTCATTGCTGTCTCTTTCAAGCCATAAATCGCGTGGCGTGATTTGCCATTCGCTTTAGGACAATCGCTATTTAGCTGTAAAACTCGAATCCTGCCTCAGGATTTCATAGGATTAATGGTTTTTGAGCAGTATTTTATTGTAAATGCACAAAGTGACTGGTGAGAAGTTAACGGAAGGGGCGTGAATAAATGTCCAGTTGCCAAGGTGGTGATTGAAACTAGAGAGCCTGAAAAGTCGACAGAGTTTAAATGTACAATCATAATGACCACTACTTCGTTGCACAATAGTGCTGGGCTTTTTTTGCACTAAATTTATTTAAATTACACACGCTTTTATGATTATTCCTATGAATGTCAACCGTATTTTCTATGAGTGGTGTACTCTACTGCTGAACACATTATTTACGGAGGTCAAATAGGGCTAATTACCCCATTCATAAGTTTTTGGCGCTCTTCATGTACCCCCAAAAGGTTCTTGCCGAGTACGTATCCAATTTTTTACTATAGGACTGTGCTATCAAGTTGTTTGTAGGTAATTGGTCTTCTCGCGCGCCTACGGCTGGTGAAACACCAATAGGTAGTTTTTTAAGGTTTAGTCACTTGATCATTGTTTTTTCTAAAATTCATATGCTACTCATTAGTTGGTAAGTACAACTGCTTGTTATAGATGAACGTAACATGGGCATCTACGGGATTGAATTCAATTGTGTCTTTACAAATAACGGAGGTCAAGCGGTGGTGCTTTCAGTGCCATACTTGCGTCGACGAGACACCATCGCTCTGTTGGGAGGAGCCGATGTGTTGGAAATCAACTCCATCGTCTTTGCCACTGCTGCCTCCACTCGACCCAAGGTCACAGCAGCGCCCAGTTTAGGCGTCTATCAAACAGCGCCTGGACAGGTATTATCTTTTTCGCAGACCTTCAGAGCTCATTTAATAGGCTAGAAAAAGGCTGAGAGGCTCTAAATCAACGAACGCTTCACTCCGAGTCATGCAATAGGAACAGAAAATTCACAAGACACCCCTTTTTACACTTTTTAGTTGGCCATATTCGATATGGTCTTGGCGGGCCAAAGAAGCTCAGCCCTTGGGACTGCCTATCGAACGGTAGGTCTGACAAAAGTGGCCAAACACAGCACCCCCAGTCCCTCTCCCCGTCTTCAGCAGCGATTGGTCAAACCTAGCACCAGCACAGACACTGCTAACGTCATTACAGGCTCTGTACCAATTTCGGAAAATACAAGGTTTGTGTACTTTATTTTTGGCAGCTCTATTTTAGACTGTTGTCGTTCCGCTTATTGGCCGAATTGAATTCCCATCTATTAGCATACTCCGAAAAAGCTTCTATTTTCTTTCCTATTGACTGACTTGATACTTTTAGTTCTACGGTTTTCGCATAAGTAAATTTCATGGCTTTACTTTGCGCTTGTAGCTTAAAAGAATTGTGGTCAAATGTTTCGATTTCGGACTTGCGAAATATCGGCTTAAGTCTCACACCTCAAAAAGCTTGGATGATAGCAAGTTAGTTTTGTTGACCTCGTTTAGGTGGAGCTTTTTTAAATTTTAATTTTTGCTCTGCACTGACACGTGCAAGATGGAGTAATTACTTTTCTAGGCCATTTTATAACCTTTGGTATTTTATTTAAAGCGGGGTCGTCTACGAAACGTGGTTTAAATGTCTTTCTACTTTAATAACTTTTAATATAGAAAGGCAAATGCCTCCGAAAGTATTCACTAAAAATGATATCATTTTGACTTTGAAATGCTTTTTATAAGCCTGAGACGATGGGATTTTGAAGGACTGCAATGTTTTTTACTGTCGCATTAGAGATTGTTTGGCGTTTGCAGAAAACTATTATTAACGATGTAGGAGCTTCTTTCTTTGTACTGAGACTAGTGATTGGTAATTTGTTGTAAAAACGTTACTAACTGCTCTTCCCACGCCGAATCGTACCCAAAATGAATTGAAAACTAGTGCAGAATTGTTTTGCGCATGAGTTCAGATGTGATTCTTTACTTCAATGTCAACTTCTAATTCAGCCTATAAATTTATTATGATCTTAGTGACTTCTGCAAAACTACATTCTGCTTCTTTCTAATTGCATTCGGTAATGGGTTTTCGGTTAATTAATGGAATCGTAGATACGCTTCAACTTGACTATTTCTGTTATATTATAGACCAAGTGTGAACGGATTTTGAACGGAGATTTTCAGTCGTTCGTGCAGTAGGGAATTTTCGCTGCGTTTTTTTTTTTTTCGATGTTATCCCCTTTTCTTTTACAAATAATTTACCCAAATCTAACACACTCTAACCCATCCGCCTTGGCATTTCAGATAATCTACCAGTAAATATAACATTTTTCACCGCAATTTCCTCGTCTTACGCAAGGTTCTACTCATCGGGCCCAATTCTTGTGATGGTAGCGTAACTTTATACAATCACATGGTATCTATTATTCTCGAACTTTCACTATGCAACTAAAGAGACGTGCTAAATTTTTGGTGGCAAAATATGCCCTTGCAACTTTCGCCACAAAATAAAGTATCTACAAAAGGACTATTAATATATTTTGTTGATACAGTAATAATTATACTCTACATGCTGTTCTCAAAGTGACAAATGGTAGCTACGAATTCTGCCTAGTCCTAGTCGCCTCAATTCTTCTCTTACTTTTCATTTCTAATTCTAATACCAGAAAGAAATGATATCCCTCATATGATGAAATGCTAGATTAATATGGTAGATATTGATAAGGTGATAGCTCTTTCTCTCCCTTCAATCCACAGATGAAAATCTTCTCATGTGCCAATTTTTCAGCAATATAAGAGACGTTCTTTTGCCGTTTTGTACAAATGGCTCTTCCCACTGGTTGACCAACTCTGACTTCTGAAGTATTTTTAGTGGACACGTTTGTGATCTACTGACATGTTTGGAGTTAATAGATCTAATCGCAACTGTTCGGCGTTTAAAAGTCGAACAATTTCTAGGGAAGAATTGTGTCTCATTGCAAACACGAAGTAACCATTCGTCTTCCGGAGACAAGGCGATGCGTATTTCGAAATCGTGGCAGTTAGTGTGGATAGTGGGTGAATCGTTTGAGATAATCCCTGACATTAATCTGTTGAGAGAGCGCTGGCATATAAAAGCTAATTTTCCTTGCAAGTTAATCAGTAAGCAATATCATATCCATTGAGGCATTTTTAAAATGTACATGAAAGAAGCGGAGATCTGGTTAACGATTTTTGAGGCTTGTTGTTTGTTAATGCCTGGCATGTGACGCCCATTTGACTAGACACCACGGCTTACCCATCCTGCTTGATGTGAGTGTAAATCAATTGCTGCATAACTTGCCTTCAAGTTCTTCCTGGTGCGTGAACCTCGATTCAGTGTGACATCGACAATGCGCAATTGCTCATTGTGGGAAGTGGGAGGTCTTGCTGAACGTGATGCAGATGTCTGTGAGTGCTCCATTACCAGAACCAAATGGGTTACTTGAAAGCACTGCTGAGTAGTACATCCTGCCACGGCATACCACACCTCCTCTGAAGACTGCACGACAGCCGGAGGAGAAGCTTCTGCAAATTTGCTTCAACTCACGACTTCAACTCGCTTAGCAGGAGTAACTGGCTAAATTACATCAGGTCCAACCGATATTTTATACATTTGGATTTTAAATAAGAGGGAGATGGTAGAAAGCACAGTGGTGACAGCAGTGTCTGTTTCTTACGGTAAGGGAACACAAGCGATCGCACAAACTTCCCAGATCCCATATTATAGCAAGTCAGTTCATCGAGTTACAGCAAAAAAACAGCGCCCACTTTTTGGCCACTCGATATAAGTTTTTTAGTTTAAGGTATTAACACATTAAGAAAGAAGTATAAAAAGTTCTCTTGGGAATTGCGCACATTAATGACCTGCAATGTATGATTGATGTCAGCAAAGTTCTTTTGGCACTTTTGCCTTGTACCTTAGAATTCATTAATTCATTCTACCACTTGCGTGACCATCAACAGAGGTTATTGTTCATATTTGTCAATTCGACCATTGGCTTATTGACAATTCAAGAGACATTAAAATATTCTAGGTGAAGGAAATCCACTACCTCACTCAACGGAATTGATCCGAAACAATGCTTTTCTTTTGAAGGTATAATTGAAACAAAACGAACGATGATGATGAGTGAGCTTGCAAATAGGAATTTTTTGAATTGTGTCCATCAACCTCCTGATGATCACACCCCATATTTCTAAAACATCGTCCCACTGCCGACGTATGGTCTCGACTGTTTAAGCATCCTATTTGGGTAAAATTAGAAGAATTGCAGATTTATATCAGTTACATAATCGTTTTGGGTTAGGCCATATTTTAGTATTTTCATTGTTTGCAGTACAGTACAGGATAATCCTAATATTTCTCACAACCCATTTCTTGGTATCTTAGACAAAAAGGATAAAAACACAGCAAGCCTAAAATAGATTTTAGAAGAATGCCTGATCTGAACGCTCACCGTGTGTGTTTTACTCATTGCTGACAAATTTAACAATTATCCGATTCAGTTTGGGCCTTCGCATAAAAGGAAGCAAAGAGGTTTTGGGTCTAGCTTTCGGCAATAACTCTCGAAAGATGGTGGTAGTATACGCTGGAGTCCATGAAAGCTTTCAATGATGTGCAGTGAGGAGAAAATGCGCCTGGCGACATTGTTGGAAGGATTGAAAGAGGGCTCTTGTATCGGTGGCAACCACAAAAGCCTGTCCAAGGAATCGACGATAGAGCTCGTCTTTCACGTCCCCTTTGGCGTATAAATCACGTAGTTTTCGCATATCCTCGACAAGGTAGTGGTAGGAGTCGGTCAGCTGACGCTCCGCTGAGTCAATCTGAACACCAACGCATGGACGTTAGATCTTTGTACTTACCGTAGGGAGGATGCAATTCATGTTCTAGATATGCCATTGAAATACGGCCGCCTATTCTATAATTGATCAACAGGCAATGGAATCACGAGAAGACTGGTTTGATTATTTGGTCTCGCTCATTTGCAAAATGAAATGAAAGCACGGAAGATTAACCATAAGAAGTAATGGAACCAAGAATCAGTTACCCAACATTTCAATCTAATTTGTACCAATAGAGCTGCCATAAATTTGCAAACGTTTCGATCATCAAACAAAAGAAAACGACACCTACGGCTGTTGACGGGTAGTGGTTAGTGCAAAATTGACTAATTATGCAGACTTTTTACATGAAATCACACTACAAACGGAATTATTCCTGGGATGAAAAAAGGAAAATTTATTTTCAGTCCTATTAAAATAATGCTAAAATGTATTGTATGTTGTAATTCCCTATCACTACACTCTACTAACTACTTATTTTAAAAAGCATTAGGTTTAATAAACTTAGCAGCAAATACCTTACGTAAGCACTCGCCTATGATTGCGTCACTTAAGACGCATCAATTGTGTATACAGAGTGAACTTTCAGGTGATTTCAGAACGAGTGCTCAAGCACCACCCAATACGATGAACAAAAATGCTACTGAATGGACACAGCGTTGGTTACTCTAAGAAGAAATGACCAAACACGCTTTAACTGATACTCATAGGTAAATGTAAAACACATGTATATTCCCTCCCGTGTGACTTACTAACGAAACATCATCGACTTCCTCGACGGTTTGTTGAATTATCACAAAGAGAGTCCGAATTTGTTCACCAATTTTCTAAAATTCGTTACAAACATGCGCGTAACCGGCAGCGACCGAAAGAATTAGGTTGGATATATTTGGTAACATTGTAAGAACCTTAACAGAGGAAAGGAGTTGTTTCATTGATGAAAACGCCGGCTTTTTGGCAACGGTTAGAATCAGCTGCATGACAGAATAAACGGCTCTATGGACCGCAGTATCAGCCTCCGACGTGACTGACCGACTCAATGTAGGAAACGCATCATTGGTTGGTTTTCCAGTGGCGCTTTGTTCGCTAAAAATTGGTGGCTGCAAATGCCAATGTGTTGACATTTGGTAGAAAACAGTAGCATAGTTACATGGCCTTAGATAGTTCCAAAAACTTACTTTTGATAGCTCATTTCTGTCTACTAAAAAGAAAAAAATTCGTTAATTGATTACGGCGCTCGTTTATGCAACTTTGAACTCAATTGTTCTTATATGATTAAAACAAATGGAATGTTCTATAGTCCTCCTTATTTACACAAAGTGTGTAAACCATTTATAACCGAAATCAAAGCAATAGTTATTAGAAGAAAACCGGAATGTGAGAGCAATTTTTCAAAAAAAACCTACACGATAATCTTCTTCGAATATGATTATTTGAAGTTTCAGCTGAAAGACGTTTGGCTTCCGATAATATGTCTCTACAAGTGATCAAGAGAACCTAGACAGGAGATGTACGGGATTCTTTTAAATAAATTAATTTACTGATTACAAAAATAAGCGACTTTTATTAACTCGTTGTCAAGCACAATCATTGAGAACTCATACAGAAAGCCAAAGTGGCTCGACGATCAATGGTTCCTAAGGATTTTTAAACCTTTCAGTGGTTAAACTAAAGACTAAAACACGTAAAATTTTGCATTACATGTACCAATAATTTGAACTATCTCGCGTAATTTTAGCCTCAATCTATTAGGATATTGGCGAATATTAACATTAGAATAGAACCTCAAACGAAGAAAAACCGTACTTAGTAATGGAAACAAGTGAAACAGTTGTAGTAATAGGTAGTATCTGGGAGGCTAACAAGCGAAGCATGTCCCAAAAGGGAGTCGAATTATGCAATTGCCTAGACACATTACAAGTGCATTCCGATTTTAACGGAAAAAGCGACTGTCAGCTCTTCAAGATGGAATAGAAGAGATGAGCGAATTCAAGGCGTTTTGATAAACACTTTATCCAGTAGATTTAAAATACTAATAAGAATGAATGCGTAGAAAGTAATATCGATCGAACCCCGTAATTTAATTATTGTTGAAATCAATAGATGGAAACAGAGGTGTTTTGTGAATTACCTGAGTTTGGGTTGAAGAGTGTTGAAAGTGGGTCGCAGCAAAGGGTCGTCCATCCAGCATTCCAGCATTAGCCGGTAGTGACTGACAAGACACATTTCCGGTCGAGCTAGTCGTTCACCACGTCCAATCGCGGCTACCGCCTCCGCGTTGGAAGTGTTGTGAAAAGGTTTGAGGCCAAAAGACAGAATCTCCCACATGCAGACACCTATTTAGCAAAAAGTTATTTCTCGAACATGCGTTAGACCACATACACTCTTTAATCTCTGCAACTGACGTGCAAGGTGTGGTCGACGTCAAATGTGATTCGGTTTTCAGCAGTTCGAAATAAATCTATGTTTGCAAGAAAATCTGAAATGCCCTAGATGAGTGTCTGCGGCATGCCGACCCGTGAACCTATTCTAAAAGTGCATTATGAGGAATACGATTAAAGCCCTACCTAAATGAATGACGAATGCACAGAGATATTTTCCCTGATCGAGATCTTAACCATGCTGTTCAAACTTAACGAAAACAAAAGACACTGAAATTCATAAAGAATAAAGTGTTCTTCTCGAATAATATAAGGAAATGATAAAGCGAGTCATTAAAGTGCTCCATTGATTGGGATAACCACCGCTACGCTCTATAGCTTATTCCAAATTAGATAAGCTAGCTGCAAAACCTACCTCCATAAAACGTTTTCACCAAGGCAAACCGAGCCCTAGTCATACTCATTTCTACCTCACATCTACTTTTCTGCTGTGTCTGTTCCATTTCAACCGTGATTCCGTAATACCAAGAGAAAGTGGCAGCCATTGTTCGGAGAATGCGACAGATGACTTCGGGTGTGGCAGTGTCTCACTCCCAATCTTCCTCTATCCTATCTTCCAGTTAAAACCTTCTCACGAACCAGTTTCGCGTTTGTAAAACACATGAAGTTTTGCGGCGTCTTGTAAGACTAGCACTTTCTTTCTTCTCGCCGATTAACTAGCCCTGACCCCTTCGAATGGATAGGTTGTGTCGAGATGTGCGGCTCTTTTGTATTCAGTAGGGAATTCATCGCGAACGATTCTGTCCGACGGTCACCACAAAAACACAAAACAGGCATATCCTCATACAATGAAGTGGTGCGTGCCTCAAAAGTGTGGATTGAGTAGGAAATGGATGGTTTAGTGATGACCAATGACCAGCGCGGTGTCCTTTCACCGCGGATAGCATGTGACACCCATTTGACTAGACACCACGGCTTTCCCATCCTGCTTGATGTGAGTGTAAATCAATTGCTGCATAACTTGCCTTCAAGTTCTTCCTGGTGCGTGAACCTCGATTCAGTGTGACATCGACAATGCGCAATTGCTCATTGTGGGAAGTGGGAGGTCTTGCTGAACGTGATGCAGATGTCTGTGAGTGCTCCATTACCAGAACCAAATGGGTTAATTGAAAGCACTGCTGAGTGGTACATCCTGCCACGGCATGCCGCACCTCCCCCTAAGACTGCACGACAGCCGGAGGAGAAGCTTCGGCAGCTTACGAACTGATTTTAACTCATTTCATGAAGCAGGGACACCCAAATCTTACCAAGGTCAAATGTCCGGATATGAGGACCCAAAACTGCAGATCACAATAGAAATATTAATAGACTGATCAATGCCCATGCTCTGTAATGAGTGCATATGCCTGCTTTTTGCGGGTTCCCTTAAGTTCCACTCAGGTATTGCGCGAACTTCTTGATCATCTAATGCTTCTGTATTGTATCATGAGAAAATGGCAGATTTTTATAGCCGGTAATATAGAAAGACAGAGAAACGAGGTTATACTGATAAGAGGAATCATTCAACTCACCGAACATCCAGACATCAGAGGCTGAACTGAAAATCCGCGATTTGAGACTTTCTGGAGCCATCCATTTGATAGGCACCTTTCCACCCTGCTCCGCTGTAATGTTGAAAGATAATGCTTTATGAAGGTGCATACTTTGGCATCACGCGCAAAACAAAGCAAAGGACCCAGATGTCTTACCTACGTAAAACTCCTCGCCTTGTATCAATTGGCGTGCCATTCCAAAGTCAGCCAACTTTACACAGGTATCGTTGGCCACCAGAACATTTCGGGCTGCCACATCCCTAGTAGGAGGGAGAATAAAAGGAGACGTAAATTGGGTAATTATGCATTTTAAAGATTTGCACTGATACGCACTCGATATCAATAAATACGAGGTCATCGTAGAAGAGCATATAGCTGTGCCATACGAGAGAATATTAAGGTAATTAAAAGAAACATTTTGCGTATCCAAAGTTTTTTAGGATAAAATACAGGACTTGGAACTTACCCAATTACGTCAATGCACATAGCGCCAAAACAATTAAACGAATTTAACTTCGTTCTGTAAGACATTGTTTACGCATCAAACAACCTTATTTCTGAACGCATGAATTAGTTACACATAAAAGTTATTGTCGGATGAAACAAACTTATTGCACTGCTAAGCGGGAATTTATAGATTTATACATAGCATTTATACATAGCTTGAGTCACTGATTATCTATTTCAATACAAATACATAAAAGCTGTAAAATAATTGACTCGTATTCTCGGTGTTTGGGTAATTCGACTCAATCTGGACATTAGCAATAAGGTTCACTCCCAACACTGTTCGAGGGGCCATTGGAAAAGCATTCTGCAAACTCTACTAATTCGCGTTACTGTTGAACGATTTAGCATTAATTTCCCATTGTTCGTACACAATTCAACCTTTTTTATTCAAATAACACAATCTTATTGGATATCCATTGAAAAGCTGCGCGCATTGTCAACTTCCGGTAAGTAAAGCGCCCTTATTTATGATAGTAACATAATCAATGAGAATGAGCATTAATGCTTCCACAGTTAATTTACAACCTCGCTAAAATTCGTCACAAAACATCTACTTTTTAAAATTTTAGCTTGAGAGAAAAAGAATAACTAATGGAATTTCAGGTTGTCCATTAAAGGCACGATTTCGTACAAAGATTTGATTATAACCGATTTCATTCTGTACTACCTTAAAAATTATTAAAAAGAGGAATAATCGTCTCCAATAAGAGAAGCCTCTCAATCACTTAATAAACAAGTTTCCAAATATTTATTGGCTTGATAGACCGAATTCTTGAATGCATGTATGAAGTTTCCCAGACAAACACAATTTCTCCTAAATGATGTCAGTGGTTCAAAATGCGACTTAGGCAAGTTCTCGATAATGAAAAGTTCTATAATGTGAAACCTCAACAACTCGTAGAAATGCCATTTAGGTATTTCTTTAGATGCCCAATTTAGAGGGATACATTATTAGAAGGACTTTGGAATAGAATTGAATTTTTTTACAATTTGCAACTAAACACACTAATCGTGAGTTTCTAATTTGGGCAAAGCAGTATTTTTTCAAAGTATTTCACTCACCAAAAGACCTAAATCGCACTAAATTGTCACAGAGACAAGCTCTTGTTTACCAAAAAAATAACAAACACCTACCTGTGAATGATTTTGAGGGCCTCAAGATACGCTAACGCCGAAGAGAGTTGGTGGCAGAAAGTCACAAGGGTTGAGAGACCAATTCCACTCTGTCGTTCCATTAGATAGTGCCGAAGCTGGAATAAGATACAAAGCGCACATTCGCCTTAGAAGAGGCCTCAACGGAACTTTAATTTCCAGTAGTCCTTTCGGTGAGTTCTATTTTCACTCATTTTAATTCAAAACCAAATCACAAACCAAACTGCCAAATCTTGGAACCACCTTAATCCATGCAGTGATCAATCGGTGCTTTCAATTTACAGCAATAGCTTCAAATATTTTCACTTCATCAGAAACGACTCCATTTTCCAATTGACCCCAAGGTGGATCAGTCCATACTTCAGCAAGTCTTGAAAGGACAGCCTCCTTCCCAAAAATCAAGAGCTTATTAGAAGATAGTTAGCTCTAGCACTTTACGACAACAGAAATCTTATAAATTATGAGATGGTAAAAATACACACTCTCTTCATTACTCACTCTACAATGTGTAACTCAAATAAGACTGTTTTAAGTAAGTTTGCAGTTATTTCAGGCAATTTTGTGTAAGGCTGAGTTGGAAAGGCCCTTAACATCATGAGAAAATGACGAGATAGGGGTCATTCAAGTACAGCAATGAGATGCACTTGTAAAACAGCAAAACAATGTACTTAACTTCCACTAAGTAAAAGGAGGCTTACCAAAATTTTTGCTCAAAGCTCCCTACCGGTAAGATTAACCGAAGAAACGTTAAGCAGCGGAAAGTCTGTGAATAATCCAACGGGAGATAACTCAATGAAATCCACTTAAAACGTAGGATGCAAAACGTTGAATTTCTTAAGTTTTGGTGGCTTGATCACCCAGTATGTACATTCGCCAGAAAGTGGCCAGCATTTCCCAGTTAAGTTATTGCCTTTCTGAACATGCTTGAAGTGTTGGATGGCTAATCCGCCTAAACCTCATTTGACAGGAATACTACATTGAAGTTAACCTTTTTCATGTGCGGGGTAAACTTTACACCGTAGGTAAAACAAGACCAATAACGTTACTAAGCGATCAAAGAGGGTCGTGCAATTTCTAGTGTAACTCGCAGTAATGAATTGGTGTAGGGACTTCCAGATTGTGCGAATGTTTGATGTCCTGCAATACGAGGCACAGATGTGTATTACTCTACCGGTGCAATACTATTTACCGTGCTCCGCTATATTCTTCTTATTTTGCAAAATGAAATTAAAGTCGTGAACTGAAGCACACTTGTGGAAGCC